TGGGGGGGCTCAGCCTGGACAGGAGGAGTCTCGGGGGAGACCTCCTCACTCTCTGCAACTCCCTGACAGGAGGGGGGAGCTGGGGGGGGTCGGGCTCTGCTCCCAGAAACCAGCAGTAGGACAAGAGGGCTTGGTCTTCAGCTGTGCCAGGGGAGGTTTAGGTTGGACATTGGGAAGAAGTTCTTTCCAGAGAGAGGGATCAGACCTTGGAATGGGCTGCCCAGGGAGGGGGTGGAGTCCCCGTCCCAGGGGGTGTTGAAGCAGAGCCTGGACATGGTACTTGGTGCCATGGGCTGGGTGCCAAGGTGGGGTTGGGCCACGGGTTGGACCCGACGATCTCAGGGGTCTTTTCCAACCTAATTGATTCTATGAAATCCTCTCCTCCCCAAAGTCCTCTCCTCTCCAAAGTCCTCACCTTTGCTGCCTCCTGAGCGAGCTGCAGCCGGGCCAGGAAGTCATTCTGGGCACGGAGCAAAGTCATCTTCTCAAAGACACACTCCTGGACCTGGGCCACCATCAGCCTCACCAGCATGTTCAGGGAAGGAGCGCTCATATCCAGGCTGGGAGCGTTGGAGAAGTTCTCCTTCAAGTAGTTAAAGGCACCTGCACGAGGGAGAAGCTCCCGGGAGTCACCGGCTTTGGAAGGAGGAGGGTCAGACTCTTGGGAGGAGAAACTCCATCCACACACCCAACATGTCACCCCCATGGCAGGAATCCCCCACCCCCCAGGGATGGAGAGCACCCCTGGGACAGGACTGTGGCCACCACTTCAACCAACACACAGGGAAGATGCGACCACCAAGGTTCATCACTGGATCCAGCATAAATATATGAATATATATATATTATATATGAATATTTAGGTCTTTCCTTTCTGTTTCTTCCTTCCCTTACACATTTCCTGAAGTGTTATTTTTATGCTTTAATGGTGCTGCATTACTACAGATGACAACAAGCAAAATGGCTCCACACCTGTTTTCCTTTGAAACCAAATTGTTTTAGAATAATATATATATATAAAATACATAAAATATATTTTATATGCATAATATATATTATATATAACAATATACATAAATTATATAATAATATATAATAGATTTAGATTTATAATATATTATTATAGATTATATAGAATACTATATTATATATAATATATAACTTATCATAATTATGTATTAAATGGAACATTTTATCATATATATTATTATATTATATATTATATAAAATAAAAATATATAATAGCATATATACTCTACTATAATATATATAGTAAAGTGATATTATTTAATACATAGTATATGTAATAGGATATATTATATATACTATAGTATATATACTATATATACATACTATAGTATGTATATACATATATATACACTACATATAGTATGTATATATAGTATATATACTATATAATATATACTATGGTATAGTATATATTGTATATACTAATTATATTATATAGTATATTATATTATGGTATATTTTATATACCATATAAAATATATATATATACACTAAATATACTAAATATACTATAGTATATAGTATATAGTATCTATATACTATAGTATATATAGTATATATATATTATATAGTAATATAATATACTATATATAGTATACTATAGGATAGTATATATACTATTATATATTAGATAGATATAGTATGTATGTAGTATATATAATATATATATTATACAGTATAGATATACTACATACATACTATATCTAATATATCTAATATATATCCAATATATAATATATCTAATATATAATAGTATATATATTATCCTATAATAGATAATAGTATATGAATATTAACATTATATTAATATATAATCATATATATGAGTATATATTATATAATATATATTATATACGTACTAGTATATTATTATATATAATACATAAAATATAAAATAGATAATATAGTGTATATATATTATACATAGCACATTTATTACATATACTAAATACTATATATATAGTACATCTAATTACAAACCTAATATATATATATATTCACAAACAGCCATCATTCAAGCTCCTTTCACTCCAATCCCCCCCCGGATTTATTCCCAAGACCCTGTGTGCCCTCCCCTCCTGGGGGGCTGAGGCGGGAGGGCCCCACGTACCCGCTGCCCTCTGGAAGGCGTCGATGGCCTGGGCGAGGCCGGGCAGGGTGGCGCGGTCCTGGCGCGCCCCGAGCTGGGTGTGCAGGGCCCCCAGGTTGAAGAGGACACTGCCCTTCTCGAAGGCCAGTGCCCGCTGGTGGGATGGCACCCCCGTCAGGGAGTCGTACCTGGAAAAGGGAAGGAGAAGGGAAGGGTCAACAGCTGCCCACCTGCCTGGCACGGGGTGGTCTTGATGGTCCCTTCCCACCCAAACCACTCTGTCCTTGCCCATGGACAGAGGAGGAGCCTGGAGGGTTTTCAGTGCTCCATGTGGGAGCCACCATTCCCATCACATAGAATCATGGACTCATAGAATCAGCTGGGTTGGAAGGGACCTCCGAGATCATCAAGTCCAACCCTTGATCCACTACTGCTGTGGCTGCCAGCCCATGGCACTGATGCCACATCCAGTCTTATCTTAAACACCTCCAGGGATGGAGAATCCACCACTTCCCTGGGCAGCCCATTCCAATGGCTGATCACTCTCTCTGGAAGGAAATTCTTCCTAATATCCAACCTAAACCTCCCCTGGCACAGCTTAAGACTGAGCCCTCTTGTCTTGCTGATGGTTGCCTGGGAAAAGAGACCAAACCCCACCTGGCTACAACCCCCTGTCAGGGAGTTGCAGAGAGTGAGGAGGTGTCCCCTGAGCCTCCTCCTCTCCAGGCTGAACAGCCCCAGCTCCCTCAGCCTCTCCTCATAGCACTTGTGCTTGAGTCCCTTCCCCAGCCTTGTTGCTCTTCTCTGCACCTGCTCCAGCCTCTCCATGTCCTTCCTGAACTGAGGGGCCCAGAACTGGACACAGCACTCCACGTGAGGCCTCACCAGCGCTGAGTCCAGGGGAAGAATCACTTCCTTGGACCTGGTGGCCACACTGATCCCGATCCAGGCCAGGATCCATTGGCCTTCTTGGCCACCTGGGCACACTCTGGCTCCTGTTCAGCTTCCTGTCCATCCAAACTCCCAGGTCCCTTCCTGCCTGGCTGCTCTCCAGCCACTCTGTCCCCAGCCTGTAACAGTTCATCACGTTCCCCCCTCCCTCCCTAATTAACGTTCCCCCCTTCCTCCCCTAATTAACCCACCCCCGCGACCGGCAAACCCGGATCTCCGCATCCGCCATGGCGGGGGTTTGATCCCAAACTCCCTCAGTGTCCCAGGTGAGATGGGGAAAAAGCTGCACCAACCAGTGGAAGAAGACCCCCAGGGGTTTGGTGGGAGGGAAGAAGCGGCTGTCGAGGAAGTGCAGTTGGTTGTAATATTCCATCAGCAGCTCCAGCCCGGCTTCGTTGCGGCTCGGGGTGCGCATGGCCTGCGGGATGGGAGAGGAAAAGTGGGCGTGGGAAAAGAGGGGGGAGATCCCTGGCACAGGTTGAGAGCCCCCCAAAAGACTCCCTGAGAATTGGGGTGGTTCAGCCTGGAAAAGGGAAGGATCCAGAGAGACCTTGGAGCTCCTTCCAGGGCCTAAAGGGGCTCCAGGAGAGCTGGA